CCACTCCGCGTCACAAACTTCATGCCCCCAGAACTCCCCTTCGGGACAGTTGCCCTCTTGGGCGACGTCATCGTTCCTCTCCCTCCCATTGGGGATCCCACTGGGAGGGGGGGGGGGGGGGGGGCAAGTGGTTGCATGGCCCATGCAACCACTTGCCCCCCATGCAGCATGGGGGCAAATGCAAGAAGGCGGAGTGGCTTCCGAACGTGTCACAGGTGACCCCGACGCCGACGTCAAGGGCGGCGGCGGCAGCGCTGGGGTTGGGTCCGACGAGGCCGACCAGTGGCACATCGACAGGCAGACGGCTAGGAACGGCGCTACTCGCGCTGTAAATCGACCACTATTTTGGGCAATGCTCCGAATATCAATGATTGTGAAGGGGCCCTTGGTGCGTTGGATGAGATGGCACCAGAAGATGATAAAAGAGCACAACGTTCGAATGCACAATTGTAAAGGACAGGGGTTTGCTTATGTGGGCCCGACCCCGATGTCGGAGCTCGCAGACAGAATGGCGGATAAACTTTCAACTGATATTTCAAACTTTCTTGAAGACGGTGCGTCTACCGATCCATCGCGATGGGGTGAAGCTTGGTCTCTGCTCAGCACGCCCGCCGAGGAGCAGTCGGCCATGCGACTTATCATCCAGAGCGTCCTTTGAGTTGCAGCTGGGTACAAGTACCGCTTCTTGCAACCTTTGGCATCTTGGCACTTACAGCTTCTTCGATTTGTTTCCCGACCTGCGCATGTTGTTGACGAGACGCGCCAGACTATCGCCATAACCATCTTAAGCGTGGACGAGTGCTGCCTGCGAGACCCCCTCAGCGACATCTCATGGAAAGCGAAGGCGATGTTCAAGGACGAGTTGGAGGTGGTGTCGCACACTGGGAAAGTTCCATGCAAGCTCTATGGTTTTATTCTGGTCTGGAGGGCTGAGCTGCCAACTGAGACCCAGTGCATCGAATGGCTCAACAGCATTGTGACCGTGATGGGTAAGGCAAGTCCGAGCCTCAAAGTACCACGAGCTTCGGACAGGCTATCTTTGAAAATTGGGGATCCCATTGCAGCGGAGGAGTGTTGTGATCTGAGTGCGCACGTCCCACTCCATATGGAATCTGAGAAGTACTCCTTACGGTTCGCTCCAGCATTGACAGCGAACATGCCGAACCCAGTGGCACAGCAAATTTGCAACCATCGGAAATTAAAGTACTCGGTGACAGTGCTTGGCTTCATCAACCCGTTGCAGCGACAGCTGACCGTTTGCGTTGAGCATGTGTTCACGTTGAGCCACGTTGGAGATGATGCGAGGTATTTTGCACTCGTCGTTGCTAGGTCATATGGGGTGCAGAAGTACATATGCGAGGGCTACGTTGGCAGTGCCAGGGGAACGTTCACCTTTAACCAGCCGCTCGTGATTGACCACATCAAGGAGGTCATCGCCAGAGGTGTTCGCAACATGGAGGAGCATATCCCTGTCCCTGATGACCCTGCTGATCACGTCCCTGAGGGCCATCCTGCTCCTGCTGGACCCCCGCCCAAACGCCAGAAGAATTCGACACCAGAGTTTGAACTACACAGGTATTGTATTGAATGGTACAAGTGCTTGCGCACGGGTCGCATCGACAAGGCATCGCACAATCTCAATGTGGCCAAGCATCATAAGCCGACAAGAGGTCAAATAACAAAAAAACTTGATGCCCATGGGCCAGCATCCCCACCGCCTGCACCTGATAATGACCACGCCAGTGGGCCAGATGGTGGGCTCGACTTGGGCTTGGATGGCTTGATGGAGGAGATGATGGAGGAAGACGCTTACACTGAACCCCACTGGGGCCACGACTTTGGACACGAGACTGGCTGCGTCGACGCCAGCGACTCCGAGGCACCTGATCCAGAAGATGTCATGCAAGAAGATGGATCATTGCTAGAGCACGTTCACGTTCCAAGCGATGGTGGCCCCGATGGAGAACGCGATGAGCATCCTGCCCCTCTTGCACGTCTTGGAGACGGTGACGCTGCGAGAGGTCGTGAGTGTGTAGAGGGGTTTGCTGTTCGTGGCCGTGCGGCCGTGGCCGATGCCCTGGCGAATGCCGGGGAGTGTGCCACGGAGGTGATAATTAAGTCAATGATCAGTTTAGTCATGGTTGATGGTGAAGAGCCAGACTGCATCTTCGTCAGGTGGACTGGCCCAAGCACGAGGCACGGTCGGAAACTATCGATCGACAATCGTGGCCGAATGATCACCATCGTCCCCTTCGCAGTTCCGAACGTTCCATACAATGGAGAAACTGTCATTGTATATACGGGGGCTACCAGGTTGAAAGCTACCAAGGGTGAGCGACCACCGAGGCCACCGTGGTGCCTGACGCTGCAAACTCTTAGGCGAACGAAGTTGTTTTGCGGGCCTCTCGTAAATGGCCCCAAATGTGTAGTGTGCGAGGCCGTGCGCGAGTGTGGTCCAGACTGTGGACTCACCGAGTCTGATATATTTAGGTGCGTTGCGTGTCTCGCTGCCTGGCGCTTGCAATGCGCTAGCTATCTTAAGAAAGGGTTCGCCACGCCAGGGTAGCATGCATTTTCCTCGTCCGTCCGCAAGGGGGATCAGGGGGAGGGCGGCAACAACAACGAGGAGGGACGAGGAGGACGAGGGAGACGAGGATTGCAATGATAATGAGAACGAGGACGATGGCAGGAGGGTGATAGGGAGCGGGGGGTAGGGGCGAAGGACACGTAAGATGATGAGAATGGCGATGCAGATGATAATGGTGACGATGATTCGGATGACGAGGATAATGGGGGAGGGCGAGGGGTGACGAGGGGGGCCCCCTGACTCCCTGGCGCGCGGCCCAGGGCCGGCTGACGGCAGCAGCTGCGAAGGTGACGCACCTGTGGGAAAAAAAGCAATGCCAGATCAACCACGCCGTGTAACCAACGCGCAAACATACACCAATCACATCAACCACACAATGCACGCACATATATAAATGTTATGTCACATGCTTGCAATTCGTTTAGTGCTAACTTGGTTTTGTTGATGCGTGTGTTGTGTTCTCTCGACTGTAACACGTGCGCCACCCCCTTCGCGTTTAGACATCAGGTGGCTAATTCGCCTCTGGCCCCTTTGGTTTTAGACATCGGATGGCTAACCAACCTCTGCCCCCTTGGGTTTTAGGGATCAGGTGACTAATCCGCCTCTGCCCCCCTTGGGTTTTAGGCATCAGGTGGCTAACTTGCCCTGGTCCCCCTATGATTTTAGACATCTGATGGCTAACTCGCTTCTGCCCCCCCTGTATGTTAGACATCTGGTGGCTAACTTGCCCAGGATCCCCCTGGGGTTTTAGACATATGATGGCTAACTTGCCTATGCCCCCATTGGGTTTTAGACATCTGGTGACTGACTCGCCCCTGGCCCCCCGTGGGTTTTTGACATCGGATGGCTAACTCGCCTCTGCCCCCTGATGTGTTAGACATATGGTGGCTAAATCGCCTCTGCCCTCCCTGGGTGTTAGACATCCAATGGCTAACTCGAATGCGCCCACCTTGGGTTTTCGACATGATGGCTAACTTGCGTCAGCCCCCCCTTGGGTTTTCTACATATGGTGGCTAACTCGCTCCTGCCCCCCTTGGGTTTGAGACATCCGATGGCTAACTCGCTTCTGCCCCCTTGCGTTTTAGACATCTGGTGGCTAACTTGCCCATGCCCCCCTGGGGTGTTAGCCATCCGATGGCTACCTCGCCTCTGGCTCCCCTGGGAGTTAGACATATGATGGCTAACCAGCCTCTGGCCCCTTTGGGTTTTAGGCATCTGGTGACTAACTTGCCTCTGGCCCCTCGGGAGTTAGACATATGATGGCTAGATCGCCTCTGGTCACACACCAACAGACATTCAGCGTGCCGCACTGCCCGTGGTAATTATTGCGCCGCTGGCCAGGGGGGAAAACACGCACACGCGCGCGCTGATGGTGGTACTGTTCGCGCCGCTGGCCCCTGGTACGCACACGATTAAGACACATGGTGTCCTCTCCGTCATTCGCCCTCCCTCCTCCATGCTCCCCTTGTTGCCGCCCTTCCCCTCTGGCAGGAGCTGAAGACGCCCTGGTGCTGCGCCCCGCGGCGCGCGACGACAGCTGGATCTACTCGTGCGCCCGCGAGAAGGTTTTCGATTGGACGGAGGATGGCCTGGTCCTCGAGGACCTCGCCTTGCGCTCGCTTCCAGGGGGTTGGCCGGTGGGCCGGTGGCCCGTAGCACTCCTCCTCCTCCTCCTCCTCCTCCTCCTTCTCCTCCTACTCCTCCTCCTCCTCCTCCTCCTTCTCCTCCTCCTATCCTCCTCCTCGACCATCCTCCTCGAGCTTCCAATTCCTCCTCCTCCACGGCCCCTGACATGCGACATTGATGTCGCGTTTCAGGGGTATTCAAATTTGAATGCCCTCTTCTGCTCCTCCTCCTCGTCCTCCTCTTATTTCTCCTCCTCCTCCTACTCGTCCTCCTCCTCCTCCTCCTCCTATCTTCCTCCTCGACCATCCTCCTCGAGCCTCCAACTCCTCCTCCCCCTCGGCCCCTGAAATGCGACTTCGATGTCGCGTTTCAGGGGTATTCACATTTGAATGCCCACTTCTGCTCCTGCTCCCCCTCCTATTTCTCCTCCTCCTCCTCCTACTCCTCCTCCTCTTCCTACTCTTTCTCCTCCTCCTCCTCCCCCTCCTCCGATTGTGTATGTGTGCAGTGAATAATGCTTCATGTGGATGATTGATACTGTTTTGTCGTAGGACATCATCGGCAGCAACCGCTCATTCATCGAGCAGCAGGCCTTCGTCGACTACTGGTTCTTGCCCCACCCAGACAGGACGGTGAAGGTCATTGACTCCAAGGGGAAGTGGGCATGGACTCGGGACAGGTTCAACGATCGCGGTGATGCAGCGACTATAGAGAAGAGGTTCAAGTCGATCATGAGCCTTGGCGTTTTCGCAGATCTTCGTGGTGGTGCGACGCTCATGTAGGACAGGGGCAAAGAAAATGTGGATCACTACGACGTCGGCCACTGCGCTTCATTGGCCGACGGTGCGAGGAAGCTTCGGGAGGGGGACCCCTTGCACAAGAGACTTGCCGAGATACTGAAGGTCGGGTGGAAGCATTGCAAGGTGCACAAGAGGGGGGCACAACCGTGCGCTCGGCGGTGGCTCAAGAAGAAGGGGAACATCGTGAACGACCAGGTCGCGCAGACAGGCCCGCTGGAGGTATGGAGGGAATCATTGCAAGTCCAGTCCATGTTCGTGCGCAGGAAGAAGGCGATGAGCTGGGCCGTCTCGGCTCAGGGCCAGATTGGTTTGGAGGACAAGCGGTTCGAGATGGCTTGCGTTGCCTACCCTGGGCGATGGCCTTGCAAGCGGCCCCTTGAGAAGTGCGTCACGTTCGCTCAGGATTCCAAGAAGATCTTGCTGTCGCCGCAGTCCGAAACTACAGTATGGGATGAACTCGAACGGCGAGCTATGCAGGAGTCCGACCTGTCCAGCCCCGCCGTCATCGCCAGCATGCAGAAGATCTTCTCGGCGGGCGAGGTTCTCATCAAGGTGCTCGGCTACGTGGACTTCGGCCCCCAGGTGATCGTCGACTTGCTGCTGATGATGATGCCGAAGCTGGACATGATTGGCAAGTGTCAGATCTTCCCCAACGGCCTGGCTGACGTCGGCTGCACAGCGATCGCCAAGATCGAGGAGTGCGACGTGCACGATCCTGTGAAAGAGATGCGGGATACGCTGACGTACAAAGGGCTTAATACTGGCGGGAAGGCTCGCTCCAAGGATGCCGTCATCGCTGCTCGGGCGAAGGCGAAGCTGGCGAAGGTGAAAGCGGGCAAGAAGGCAAAAGCAAAGTCAAAGGGGGCTGCGGTGCCTAGAGGATCGTGCCTCGCACCACTTGCCATGGACATGGGCATCCTGGAGGAGATCGAAGATAAATCTGCTGACATGACCATCTTGAGCCACATCGAGACCACGAAGGCATACTTGGTTGCGAAGGACCCACGGCAGCGCGATCTTGCTGAGGCGTTCAGGCTTGCTGGCTTCAAGGGCCTCTTCCAGAGCAGCAGCGGCGGCATTGATATTACGATCAAGGGCGTCGCCAAGGTCGTGAAGGGCCTCAGCCAGTTGAGGATGGCTGTGTAGTCAGAGGTGTACAGGATGGCACGGCTCGCCCCCAGGGCATCTGGCCGACGCGTTGTTAAAGCAGCCCGAGATCGAGACCGAGGAAATGTTGGTGGCAGAGAGTATTTCATTTTCGAAGGCCGAGTTGGTAGAGATCGTAGAAGAATCGAAGGACGACATAGATATTTTCATCAGCGCTATGACAATCAATCCACCCGACATCCCAGTGACGGGGCACGTCTGTGCAGCAAGTGCTTTGACTAAGTCCATGGTGGCTGTCATGACGTCGTTGGCGAGCATTTCCCCGCTCATGAACTCCGAGGTCGCGTACGATCCCCTCGTCGAAGAGACGAGCGAGCAGGTCATCGAGATCTACCCTTTGACATGGGATACGTATGCCAAGCTAATCGAAGACCTCTCCGTCAAGGGCGACATGCGCGTGCTGTCCGAATTGCACCCACCCTGCAAAGCTTTGTTCGACATGAAGATCACGACCAGGATGCTTCACCCACTTCGAGAGCAGCTCCACCTGCACTTGGTGTCTTCCCTGAGCACACAGATGGCGCTCGTGCAGTCTGGCACCAGCGCAGTGCCCGCGCCGTACGTGCCCATGTGGGTCGTCGATGCTCTCGTGCAGAGGGTGTGGGGGCATTCGTCCGTGAGGCCACCGCCTTCAACTTCAGATGGAGTCCACCGCCCTCGCATGGAAGACGTGCCGTCTGAGCTGTACGACAGCATCGTTAATCGGGATTGGTAGATCTGGCTTTGCAGAATCCATGCCAAACGAAAAATATGGTCTTGATTGTTTTGGCTCAGTTTTTTGTTTGGGTGGGCCGATCGCGGTGGGCGTGGGTTCCTGCGATGCCATATCGACCCATCTCCATCGTAAAACAGGCGCCGACTGCCCCTCTTGAAAGTTGTTGCAGTCGGAGTGGTTCGCGAAGTTGTATGAGGGCTGGTCGAAGTGCAACTTGATTGACGCGAAAGGCTTTGCGAAGGCGATGGCCGACTTGAAGGAGTTCCTGGAGAAAGCCAGCCACACGGCAGTGCAACGCCGTGCCAAAGACGAAGGGCTGAAGATCAAGCATACAGATATACCATCGGTCATGGACTTGTTCCCAACAGAACGGGTGAAGGTGATATCGTTTGTCTTAAAGGAGTTCGACGCTTCGCGGCCTGAGTGTGCAGCGGCCATGTTGATCTACAACGATCTTAAGGACTGCGCGGACAAGGCCGTTGTGAAGAAATTCAACCCAGAATGCCCACCGACAGTAACCCAGAACGAGCAGGCTGGCACTGTGGCCCAACTGCAGGACAAGAAGGACGATACCAACAAGCCCATGGAGTACTTGACGTGGGCGCAGAGGGTTGTGGCCAACGAGAAAGCTCAATCGACTGACGGGTTGACACTGGCTGAGCGCCGCGACGTGGTGTCAGCATTGCAGAAGCGCTTCGACGACATGAACAGGACGGGCTACCCTTTCTACTCCACGCTCGGCCTTGTCATCGACGTGAAGATGCCAGAGCCCAAGAGCGACGCCAAGGGAAAGCATAATGCCGAGCCGAAGCTCACAGTGACGATCGGGGCCATCTCCAACGAGGCCGCGAAGCAGAAGGACGAGTTGACTCTGGATGCCACCGGCCTCCCACTTTGGGGCACTGTGGTTTCAAAGGTTGTGGCCGACACCATCCCCAATGGCATGGTGTGCAGCATCGGGGACTCTTACGGGAACGGCCCCCAGCTCTTCTTGGATGGATCCAAGCATTGCAACCCACGCGCATCTACTTGCAACTTGGGTTGGCTACTGCCCCTCCACCTGCCCAAGGATGCGAAGGAGACGACGCCTGTCGACGAGGAGACGGTGCCCAAGGATACGCAGCCCGAGCTTTCTGTGGTGCCAGCGCCTGCTGCCGAGGGGCAGCCCGCCAAGAAGGCGCGCAAGGCGCCGCCGCAGGTGAAGCAGCCGAAGTGCATCGCCGAGGTCATCATGAAGGAGGTGTCGATTGAGGTCAACGGCATCAAGTGCCACGGCGCACAGCAAACCATATGCACCTCCATCCACCATCCCCTTGAGGGAGGAAGGAGGGGGAAACGAGAGGAAGGAGGAGGGGGGAAGGAGGAGTGAGGAAAGAGGAAACGGAGGGATGAGGGAACAGGAAGGGGAGGAAGAAAAGTAGGAGGGGGGGGGGATAAGGTTCGGAGAGATCGAAAGGCGAGGAAGGATGAAGGAGGAAGGAGGTTCCTCCTCCTCCTCCTCCTCCTGTCCCCCCCCCTCCTTCTCCTCCCCCTCCTCCCCGCCGTCCGCCCTCCCCGAGGTGCGAGTGCGACGCGCCCTACCTGAGGATCAACCCCCTAGGGCCCGTCGGCGCCAAGGTGGCGAGGCAGGCGGTGGGCAGGGACCTCGAGCGCAGGGGGAAAACGGTGAGGGCCCAGAAAGAGAAGGGGCCGTCCTTCCTCGTGCTGTGAGGAGGCCGCGGGCCGCCGCCGCTTCCCACCGCCGACCTTCGATCCAGGCTTTGGGCGAAGAGGAGGGGGGGGGGGGGGGGGAGGAGGGGGAGAAGGAGGAGGAGGAGGAGGAGGAGGAGGAAGAGGAGCTCGATACGATTCGGAAGCCACTCGATGAAGCCAGGATCGAAACGACCGCGCGAGCAGGCGCGCGGCAAGAGCGGTGCCCCGCGATCTTCTTGGACAAACAACGGCCGATCCGACGCGAAAGCGTTTTAATATTGATAGGCTCCCGCCGCTACCGCCTCGATCTCAGCCAGAACGTGCGCGTGGTTATTTTATGCGTGCTATCTCGTCGCTACGTCTAAGGCCCTGCTGCGGGGTATGTTTCATGTTAAGCCACGGCCCTATGCTTACTTGACGACGTGCCCACACGTGCGAAAAGTGCGAAACGACCAAGCCCGGACCAAACAATAACTCATCCGTGCGTCAATGCGTCTTCATTGTTCGTGATGGCCTAAGGCTAGAACGTGCGAAACATCCAGGCCCAAGAAGCTCACCATCGCAGCCTTGAGGCTTGCAGATCCATGAACTTTCCGACCAAGAAAATACAACGTTAGACGAGCCTCACTTGGGACACCTTGAGGCCATCTTGGGTTGTCTTCTGGGCATATTGTGGGCTTTTTGGACCGTCTTAGGATGATCGCAGGGGCCTAAGGGCCGTCTTGGAGTGTCGGTAGCCCGAAAAGGTCGTCCAATAACCGATGAGAATATGCTGAAATTTGCCTCTCGGGGCCTTCTTGGGGGACCTCTTTTAGCCCTCTCGGGGCGTTTAGACGCGCCTTTTGGCGGCCTCCATCTTGGGCGTGTGGAAGAGCTCTTGGGCCGTCTTGGGCCCCCCCGTCGACCGTCCCGGGAACCTCTCGGGGTCCTCTTCGCCTGCTTCGAAGCCTCCTTGCATCCGGAGACGTTGCGCGAGAGCGCGTGAGAAACCTCCGAAGCGCCTGGGGGCAAACGAGAGCGCCGAGAGTCCTGACTGCTCGTTCGGCACGATCCCAGCGCACAAAGCGCGGCTGGATCCGCATGGCTTCGCCTTCTGGCGCCGACCCCCCGCGGGTGGATTTGTTGCCTGCAGAGCTTGCCCGAGAGCGAAGCGGCGAATATAGGGATAATTTTTCAAGAGATGATAATCGCTTTCTCCATTCTATTCTGTAGGGTGGCTATGGAGCTAAGAAGCGCTTATCGAAGCATAAAGTCATCAGACACATTCGCTTACGGAATCGAGACGTTTCAAGTCGGCCTGCCATCATAGTCTTAGTTGCGATTGAACTGATTCGTGTTGTAATACTTTACCAGAGATGATTGCGTTTCCGCAATTGAGTTCGAGATCTAGGCCAGCTACTGAGCTGAAATGCGCACCAGTTGACAGGAAGTGACTCGTAGAGCTGCCCTAGGAGCGAAGCGGCGAAGCTAAGGAGTAATTCCGGCAGGCGCTCTGGGGGGCCAGTTGGCACGAACAATCTCGACGGGCATTTTGAATGATTTCGGTCGGTTGAAAATCAGTTTCTGGAAATCTGAACATCCGTTAGAGCTCTCATAGTTTCCCCCCCATCTTCGGTATTATTCCCGCTCGCCATCTTGATCTCAGGTCGATCGGGTAGGTTTTACTGCCACAAAGCATGTGGGCGGGATCGGCTGTTTAGTTTCATCTTGGCAGAAGCTGTCGGTTTTCTTAACTGAACTCGAGCTGCAGAGCTGCCCGGTACAGCAATCGAGAGGAAATCATCAGGAGCGCTAGTCCAAAGTATCTAGATGCCCGAACTCGGTCTGTTACCAGTGCTTTTCTTTACGAGCTGATGATGGTTTTCTTATCTTAACTTGAGCTGTGGACGAGATACAGAGCTGTTCGGCACAGGAATCGGAATACATTCATCAGGAGCGCTAGTTATCAGTTTATCCGACACATAAATTGATCAGGGGCATTCGCCTACGGCATCGAGACGCCTCAATTCGGCATGCAGGCTGCGACCGAACAACTCTTCGAACTGTAGATATTCTTCGGTTGATGATGTGCGTTTCCTCGATCGAATTCGATGTCTAGGCCAGCTACGGAGTTGAGATGCAGACCATTCGACAGGGAATGTTGAGATGCATCAGTCTAAATAAAATGTATACGCGCTTGAGATCGGTCTGCGACCAGAGCTGCGACCCAATAATTATAGAGGCGGTGTTTAATTCAGCATTTAATCAGAGGGATAGGCAAGCTGGGGAACTGGGAAGCATTCCGCTCAACAGAAAATCATCAGAAACAGTCCTCTAGAGTAGCTGGGAAGCAGACTGTTCGAATGGGAATCAGGGCGAGCGCAAACTCGAGCTGTGGAGAAACGAGAAACTGTGAAGCAACTTCTCCTCCTCTGCCTCCTCCTCCTTCTCCCGCCCTTCTCCTTCTCCTTCTTCCTCCTTCTCGCTTCTCTTCCCCCTCCTCCCCTCCGCCTTCTTCCACTTCCCCACTTCCCCTCTTCCCTGCCCCATGAAACCGCGCCCTCGCGCGCGCGCGGAATGCGAGATTGCCGCGCCCGCGTGCCATCCATGTATATCGCAGGGATGCTCTGCGTGTTTCCGGCGGTGTCCAAGGTTGGGCAGACCCTGGAACAACATGCCCGTGCCTGGGTCTGTTGTTCCAGGGTCTGCTCATCCTAGGTGGCCGCCCCGGGAACTCCTTGGTGGCCTCCCCCCGCCGCGCCCCCCCCGCCCTCGGCCGCCCGTCCATCTCCCTCCTCTCGGGCCTCGGCACCCTCGCGATAGCGGCGGCTGCTGGCGCCTGGCGGCTGGCATCTTCTCTGCTTGGTGAATTGTTGGCGGGCCTATTACAGCATTCTTGTAGCTTGCTGGCACACTGTATTCCAGTTTTTCGCTTGGGGTCTCTTAGTTTATTTGCAGACGCGGCTAACTTCTCAGAGGACGACTGGGACTTTGACGGTTTGGGACGAGATCCCTGAGCATGCCACGCAGGACGAACGTGCTTTATTTTCTGCGTTGGAAGCATCTAAGGCAGGACGTATCTCAGATTCGATGTCGACTGATCCTTCATCTGCTGGCCATCCACCACAACTTGTCATGCATAATGGCCTTGCTCATTCCTTTGTATCTGCTGCTGCCGCCTGTGCCGATGTTTCCATGAAGCAGATCAGTGAGAGGGGGGAGGTGGGGGATGCTTCCAGGTCCTCTAAGATGGCTCGTGCTGGGGCGGGTGGTAAGGGCGCCTCAGACGACAAAGAGCCTGTCACTATTGGCCTGTTGCGTAATGGGTTCCAGAATTTAGTTGAAATGCTCAGAGGTATCCTGACTGAGCATAAGGAGGAGGTGAGGAAGGATATTCAGGAGGAGATTGCACCTTTGAAGTCGGACCTTGAACAGCTAGAGGAGGTGGTGAAGCAGCAGCAGCAGCAGGAGGTGGTGACGCTCAGGTTCAGAAGCAGTTGGCAACTGTAGGGAATGATGGTGCGGCCAGCGATGCAGCCTCTGTTTCTACTCGGGTGAGCTTCGGAGGCGACGCACGCCTTAGGAAGAAACCCCCATTTGTCCCTGGTCATGTAACGCTCCCGGGCTGGACCTCGGGGGACCCTCGTGACGTGCAGGCTCGGGCGAGTAACATCCTGACCGAGGTAAGGGCCACCAGAGTTATTCAACATTCTCTGGGATGAAGTTGGCTCGCAGTTCGAGGCTGATGCGAAGATCTTCGATCGAGATGCTACCAAGCGTGAGTTCCTGGGCAAGCCGTTTGGTGTCTTCAGGTTGCGTATTTACTTCGTCCACGGCACGAGTAAGGACGCAGTCTGGAAGGTCAGGGCGGCTTTCTGGAATGCTTTCTCCTCGCGCACGGGCTCTCTTTGGAAAGATGATTCTCTGCTTGCTGTTACCCAGTCGTACATCAGTATACGTGGGCAGTGTGAGCCTTGGCGTGAGGGACAGGTGAGTGCAGGTAGTAAGCTTGCAGCAACATGCTTCCGTGTGAGGAACCCCTTGAAGAAGAACAATCGTCTACGTATCCAGTATGGGTCTCCTGAAATGTCTTGGGCTTGGGGCTATCCTGAAACCGGTGGGCAGATCTGTTTGGGAACTTGGGACCCAAGGCACGGTTGGACCCTGAGGCCTGAATCGGTGATGGAGTTTGACGACAAGATTTTTCCTGGGCCCTGGCAGATGTTGCTGAGCGGTGACTCTGTGTGACGTCGTGCGCGCCCGTTGAGGGCGGCCAGTTGGAACGTCAGAATGATGAGTGATGCTACTGCTCTATCTGCTCTTCCTTGCTTGCGTGAGCTTGGGGTGCAAATCGTCGGGCTTCCGGAGTGCCAGTTCCTCAGGTGTGGGACGTTGAATGAGGCTGGTTTCCATGATCGTTGCTCGTCTGAGGTGAAGCTCGATAGCGGTTCGACGGAGGGCAAAGCAGGCGTTCTATTCTCTTCAACTCTTAGTTCCTTTTTCTTGGGGCACGCTGCTGGTAGACGATTTGTTGTCTGTGCCTTTCGTGGGCCAGAAGTGGGCGCATTCATCGATGCCAGCGTTTATCTTCCTCAGCAAGGCTTTTACGGGACAACGTCTGAGGGGTATCAGGCCACGCTCCAGTTGTGCCAGAACGTTCTTCTGGAGTTTTCTCGTGCTGCTGTGCGCGTGCGTCTCAAGTATAGTATTCGTGATGTTGTTGTGTGCGCCGACGCCAATGTTGAAGTGCAGCCTCATGTTGAGATTGATCGGCTTCGTATCTCTGGAGGTGGTGTGCATCAGCGTACTGTGAGGGAGGAGGAGGGCTTTGGCAGGAAGGCGTTGCAGGGTGCATGTGCGCGTGCTTGGTGTCTCTGTATGGCTCAGTTACGTTTGAAGCTGATTCCTACATTCCTGGATCGTGGGTTTACCTGGTGTGGTGGAGGGGCTAGGACTAAACATGGGAGACACTTGTTATTTGTTCGAAGTTGCACGTCATGTATGCGCATCCTCCTGGCTCTCGTGACACGGAATGGAGT